AAAAAAATCATATGTGGAAAGTAGCGGTTTTCCTGTAAAATTTCGATGTAAGTTGTGTTTTTATTCTATCATGAAAATTTTTAGTTATCGTGTTTTCACACCGTATGAGAATTTTTTATAAATTATTTTTTATGTGAAATTACTCCACTAGTTTGTTATAGTTGTTAATATAAAGATCGAACACTCAGAAAAAATTCCTTCGATCCGGCCGGATTTGAACCGACATCTTCTAGCATACCGTGCTAGACGCTATACCAATTAAGCCACGGAACGGACCAAAGGGCCTTATGAATTTTTCTATGTGTTTATTTTCGGGTCTTCGTATTTTGTTTTTGAACGACTTTTAGCCGTAGCGCCATCTATGAGAAATCTTAAGTATTTCGTCACCCAGTTAGATACCTTTACAGGTACCAGCCATGGCATGTCGCTATTCATTGTATTTAATTTTGTATTTAATTGATAGTCAATTATTTTTTGAAATTACTCCACTAGTTTGTTATAATTACAAAGATCGAACACTCAGAAAAAATGCCTTCGATCCGATATATATATTTTTTAAAGCGATTGATTCAACAATTTCATTGTTATGCGGTTGATTAACCAAAGCCATTTGAGGTAGTATAGACTCTTAAAGCCAGCTACAAATTCTGTACCAACCGTGAACACGACGTCATAAAGCCTCGCACACGCATGGAACACCTGAATGTCAGCCATCTGATCATGCATGTCCCGGCTTTCGACGGACATGTAGTAGCGATGCGCGGTTTCAATGCGATTGGGGGCACTCGAGTTGCGCGGGAGGTCCTTGGCGATGTCAATCAGCTTCATCACGAGGGCGGAGTAGATGCGGCGACTGATAGCATCCGTTCGCCGTGAACGGTAATTATCAACTTCCCTGGAACATGTGAAAGGGAGGTATATTTACTGTGTTCCGCTTTTGAAGAATAGAGGTGCTATTGAAATTACAGGCACGTGGAACTTGTCAACTTATGTCAGTGGCAGTGCCCTCCGATCTTTGCGTTTTAAAGCTCTGAGTGGCACTGTTACTGTTATGGACAGGCGTGTAGCTTAACCATCAGGAGCACGACTTGTTTGTCCAGTCGCTTGATGTTATAATAATAAAAAAAAGGTATATCATAGCTAGCAGACGAAAAAGGCGGCTGGTAGTCGACTTAGACCCATTATGGTACTGTCATATTTGTGCCCGTACATAAAACTCTTTCCTATGTATTAAAAGTAAATATCAGACAACATCACATAGGTTGCCCTGATCCCAAAGTAAGTAGCTAAAGCACTTGTGTTATGGAACTCGGAAATGAAAACGGTACCATAAACACGCAGACCCGAGACAATATAGAAAAGTTAGTTTTCTACATTGACCCGACCGGGGATCGAACCCAGGACTTTAAAGATATTGACGACCACTGAGATCGTCATTATATTATCAATGTACAGGGTGGCAAATTTACAATGGGCCAAAATTTTTTTTAGATGTAGATCATTTGTAACAACCCATTTAAAATAAACGTTAGTTCCGTGAATTTGTTTATGTCCTTTTTTGAAAATTTTCTACTCTAGTCACTAACCATTCTAGTTTGAAAACTTCTACTAAATTGATTGAAATTTGGTATAGACATAGTGTGACCATGTAACTAGCATGCAATGAGCCATTTTTATGATTGTTCTCAGACTGCACCGTTATTTTAGACATTTAGGAGATTTTTTATTTGTTTTTTGAAAATTTTCTGCCCTAGTCACTATAACCACTGTAGATTGAAAACTTCTACTAAATTAAATGAAATTTGGTATGGACGTAGTGTAACCATGTAACTAGTATGCAATGAGCCATTTTTATGATTGCTCTTAGATTGCGCCGTCATTTTGGACATTTAAGAAATTTTTTACTTGTCCACGACCAATGTGTTAAATTAAAAAATAATCCTGCCTGTGATAAATGTACAATCAGAATTTGCTAATGGCCTTAAAAACTACCTTAAGATGTAAGAATTGTTTACAAGTAAAATTGTATTGTTGCAACCATTGTAAGGTCTTCATAAATTGACATGACGTGCACTGAGTCAATGACAACCAAAATGGTAATTAGTATCGTAATAGTTATTCTACAATTTTGATTTAATTTCTCAAAAGCAACTCAGATTTACCTTAATTATTCTCAAAAAATTTTTGTACCACTGTAAATGGGCCAATCTGTATTATATCAATATATATTACATTGTATATTATGCCATCACAACCTTCAAGTCAATTCGAAATTCAAATACATCGTTATTTCAAAGGTAAGCAAGATTAAACTCTACTACTCATTCCTAAGGCAGATTCCCCAAGAAGAATGAGTTAGAAACCCTAGGGGTTGAAACAGCTCCACTGCTCGTTGTTACAGAAAGCGACGTGTGTTGGCCTTATTAATTCATAGTTATTATATAAAGATATTAGCAAATCTTCCGTTTTATATCCAGTCATATTTCACTCGTAACTCTCGCCGATATTTTTCAAAGCATAAAACTTCCTGCTGAAGCAACGTTACTACAACAATATTGTAAATCATTAAAACCATCGGCCGTAGCCGAAATTTCCACATTGATCTAATTAAAACTGCAAGTTACGATCTCAAGTGTAGGCGCAAGCGCAGATCAATATACGGCTACGTAAATCATTCATCGCGTAGGAGTTCTACGTCACAGAGTCGGTACTATGACCATTGGAAGGTGATCTCTGATGTACTTTTATTATAAATTTACTTAATTAAGATGTCTGTATACTATGATTAAACGTACTTTTGATGTAGATAATAGGGTCCACTGAAAATCGGCGACACAGTCTTTACTTAACTGTTTGGACCCTTTTGCATTTACCACAGCCGCACACATCGCATTTATTCAAATTGAGCTGACGGTTTTTTAAATTCTATTAGGTATGTTTGCTACGTTGTTTTTTTGTTCTTTTATTTTTTGTTTTACTTTTGCTTTGTCTTTTTTAAATTCTTTCTGTATATTTTTGTGTTGTGGTGTTGTAATAAATGAATTATTATATTCTGTAGTAGTATTTTACGCAATCGTGTTCCGTTTACCTAAGAAATAGGTACGAGATTTTAAGATTGTGACAAAATCACAAAACAGGCAATAACTCATATTAGTTCCGTCACGCACCGCTAGATGGCATTGGCGTCGAAATAGCAAATTCTGCATCGCGGTGTTAATATTTTACGCCTCTAGCGCTGCTTCCTTATTGGACGCTTTAGAACGTAACACGTAGTTGTTGCAACCTGAGCCGCTTCGTAATTGGAACGTGCGTACGGGTCCTCGACTACGTTCCGATTAGGGGGAGTCCTTTCCCACTGTACCACAGACGTTGTAGGTATATGTTGTGAAATGAAACCACCATATTGGAAAAACCTGGTTTCCCTCTGTCACCCCAATAAGAACTACTACAAGATCTAATTATGTAATGATTTTTCTTCGAGTAAATAAAATAAGGAAACACAACGAATATTTAATGGACCCATATTTTGTTAATAATCCATGACAGCAAACTCTACATAACTAAAACACCAAAGGTATAGAATAGAAGTGGCCAAGTACCGCTTATATTTTAACCAATCCTTTTTTATAAAGGTTTATGGCCCGGTTGCAAGATCTTTAGGTCAATTTAACCAATCAGGAGACAGTAGGGCGTTTGAGTAGCGTCATATTTGATATTTTAATTAGCAAAAATATGACGTTCTTTTTTTGAAATTCATTAAAGTTCTGTGTACTATAGACAATAGAATTTTGATTTTGAACATTAAAAAGAGCGCCTCTATTCAGATTCAGATTCATTTATTTCTCAAATATGACATTACAGTATTAATTGCACTACACGTCAAAGTATAAGAAATTATATTGAGATCCTCAGATAAAAATGAAAATTATAAGAAAAATACAACAATTACAAAATTAACAATTCATTATATAATATTGATGTCATTAAATTACATATCAAATATCATTCTCCATCAAGGATCGTCATAAGTTAATAACAATTACACAAGAGGATGTCTGTAGCGAATCGTGCAAGTTGCTACAAATCTCTTTTGTATATATTTTATAGTCTAACGCATTGACTTGCAAATAAATGGACGACGGGTCTAATACAAAAACCACGAAAAAAATGTCCCAAGTCAACCTATTTAAACGTAGTGATATGTAAAGGAATATGAAAAAGCTAAAACGTTGAATTTAAATTGTAATGTCATCGCAGTACTGTCTAATTTTGCTTGCTTCGCTGTCAGTCGAACAAACGAAGACTAGAGCGTGAATGACGCTCTGTATACGATTTTAACGCTCTATAAGTTCGGACACTTTTAGCGCGGACCCGACGTCCATATAATTGTAAGTCAACGGTCTAATGTTTTAGTTTTATACGTAAACTCCAAATTTAAACGTGTTCGTTTTTGGCGCCTTATTCTTGACTTGACTTGCGTTTGTTGTTTTGCTTTGATAGCGACAACGTGCTAGTAAATTATTAATAAACTGTAAGTACATTCTCTTTTGGCCTTGCTCACTCGTTATTAGCACCCAACCTTTAACCCATTGATACAGTCTACAATGTCAATGCGGTAAAGATTATAATAAAATAGAAAATACTCAATATCGTTACTATTTTAAGTCCACAAATTCATTTACATAAAGGATTTTTCAATAAAGGATCTTTCAGCCGGCGGCTGAATGTTTTGTCAGACGGTTCAAGTTAGAGAGTAGCGGTTAAACGCTCATAGTAAGTAGTTACGATGACACGGTTATAATATTATACACGTGTCGTTCGGTTATAATTATATTATGATGAACTTGGTGTGCCAGCGGCTTAAACTGGAGGAGCTACACGGACTGACTTCTATTCCTACTTACTAGGACAAATTTAGGGGTCAACTTTTTCTAATTTTCGTTGCTCTGGTACTCATAGTACAATTCCACCTCTAATTTGAGACCAAGTGATTATTAAAAAATAAATAAATAAAGCGCACACTCGTAGCTCCGCACTAGGCAAAACCCTGGGTGCCACGGACACACACAGACAACCACAAATTACACCCAAATTCACGAGAGAAATAAATGTGGGTCATACAAATATTTCTCCCGGCCTGGGAATCGAACCTGGGACCTCTGCATGGCAGACTAGCATGGTAACCGTTTCACGGAGACAGTTAAGTAATTTTAGTGGCTATCTGGTACATTATTTATTTATAATCAAGACTTGATTCAATAGGTATTTCTTAGATAAACGCGAATCATCGTCGATCATATCAATGCTCAACATCAGGTGAGACTGTAGTGATGGGCGTGTCTATTTATATTATTTTTAATTTAAAGTGGCGTTAAGAAAGCGCCGGGTTAAAACCCGGGAGTTGGCCCATCTCTGGTTAGATTTCTACTGCCAATTTGAAAAGGGGTTTATTAAATAAAGTCTAATTGTAATTTTTAAATTTTAAAAGAAAGTCACGATCTTTTACTACTGTGATATTACGTTTATTATATTCCATTTAACTGCCTCCGTGGCCGAACGGTTACCATACCGGACTGCCACGCTGAGGTCCCAGGTTTGATTCCCGGACTGGAAGAAATATTTGTATGGCCTACATTTATTTCTCTCGGGAGTTTGGGTGTAATATTTGTGGTTGACTATGTGTCCAGCACCCGCGACACAGGGTTTCCCTAGTGCGGGGCTACGTTGAGTGTGTGCGTTATTACGAAATTACTCCACAACTACAAGACCGCAACACTAAGAAAAAATCATTTGATCCGGCTGGAATTGAACCACCACCCTCGGGCAATCCGTGCCAGATGCTCTGCCAATTATACCACGGGATGAACCAGCAGGACTTACAAATTTGTTTATGTG